TCTCAAATGAGAGGGTTTTTATAATTCCCCCAACGCTTGGCCATTGGTCCCTATTTTCGGGATGAGATAACCGTGTCTTAAAGAATTTGTAATTGTCAGAACTAGTCGTTGGGACGGGTAGACGTGCCCATAACTAGCCGTTGGCGCGGGCAGAGGCGTAGTTACGGGCACAAGCGTCTTAACTGTTTCTGGATGGTGGAACCGTGCGTGACGGGAAGAGACTAACGGAGAGAAGTGTTGTGACCAAGGGTAAAAAGGTCAACCTTCTCTGTTGGAGGGACAAAAAGGTAAACTTCCTACCAAAGTGGTTGGACTTAGGCAATTGGGCCGTTCTGGGAGCAGAAGTGGACTGGGCCGTGCTTAGCCATTGGGCCAGTCCGGAACAAACATATACCCACAATTACACATATTACTCATTTATGCCTAATATTATTAAATAATAATCGATTTATTACACATATCAATTAACCAACTAATATTCATCAAGATGCACCAAACATCAGCCAAACATTGACTGCATGAAAAACCACACCAAAAATCCAACTCAGCAGGCCAACACGCATTCATTGACATGAAAACGGTTAACTCGTCACCAAGCCGTTGCCTGTCATCACCCTCATCCCTCAACCGTCACCCCTATGATGACCACTAATGCCCTATGCTTGCTTGGAAACCATAGCATCATGCAGGTGACACCTGCCAACCTATTGACAGAAGCAAAAACATGTTTTTACCATTGCAGAACCTTTGAAACACCCCAAATCAATTCGAAAACATCCCCAAACAGTCCAGAATTGATACATACATGGTTAACACATATTAGCATGTTATTTCCTATTAATATAACATGTTATTCCTTCAATTAATCACAAAAATTCAAATTTTCATTCATGCTTTAAAACCCTTAATTTCATACCAAACTAGATGTTTATGAACAATTTGGCATACACAACAATCACCACAATTACAAAGCGTAAATTTCAACTAATTCATTGCATAAAACAACATCACAGTCATGTAATTCATCAAATAACCAATCAAAGAAGAAGGAAGAAAATCCTATTGGAGGTTAAGGGAAACCTATATACCCTTTCATGATTAAGGAATTCTTAGATGAATAATCTCTCCCCATACCTTGAAAATCCAACAAAAGCAATCCAACAACCTTCTATGGAGTTTCCTTTAGCAAGCCATAACTCTTCTTATTCTCTTTTTCACGTGCTGTCAAAATGCTCTAACCATCCCTATTTCTTCAAAATTTCTAAATATATATATATATATATATATATATATATATATATATATATATATATATATATATATATATATATATATATATATATATATATATATATATATATATATATATATATATATATATATATATATATATATATATATATATATATATATATATATATATATATATATATATATATATATATATTAATTATATGGTTTAGTACAAATTGGTTGCAAATGGATTTGTCTCTAAAGATAGATATTTATACGACCCACGTCAAATCACTTACACACAAGAAAATTAATAATTATAATAAAGAAAATTGAAAAATGAGATTGAATAAATTATTTGGTTATTTAAAAATAGTGATCATTTATATTAGTTTAAATAAGTAATTTTAATTATTTGTATACGTTTTCAAGTTAAGAATATTTTTGACTTCTAAAAAAAAAGCCACAATTCTCTCTCTTACATTTCTCTAATTTCTCCCTTATAACAAATAATATCTTAAATCTGTTTGAATTATACCAATTCTATAGAGAATTTCGAATCAATCTTGATGAACAAGAATCAATGTTTATGATTAATTACTCTATCTAGTTCTTCACTCTTCACTTGAGAGTGAATCAAATGATCTTTGTTGCAAGACGATTCTGCTGCACGATGATTATTGAAGAAAAAAAGGAAAAGATGAATTAGGGAAGAAAAGAGAAATCAGGGTTTTAGAGAAAATGGGAAGAAGATGAATAATTATGCAGAGAAACTTCTCTGCTTATCACACTGAAATTTTATTCAACTATGCAACTACATTACAAACAATGATAAGGTACCTCCCTATTTATAGGCTGAGACTGCTTGCACACCAAGTAATCTCCATCTAACCTAATCAACTAAGCTGAAACAAACAAATAAAGGTAAGTCAAAATTATGTCGAGACACACTTCTTCGACATTTTGTCAATACTAGGTGTTTCGACAACACCTTGCTTCCTTCGAGCAACATGCTTCGACACTATGAATTACATTTTCAACACACCACATAATTCATTGTGTCTAAGCAATCTATATTCATCATAGATCTTAATTTCTTGAATACTTTGACCTGTACACCTTTCGTCATGATGTCTGCAATATGAGTTTTAGTTCTAAGGTGTTCCAAGTTCAACTTCCCATTTGCTACTTGCTCTCGAAGATAATAGAACCTCATTTTGACGTGCTTGCTTCTTATATGTGCTATCAGATTCTTCACCAGATTGATAGCAGACATGCTATCAATCTTCATGGTAATTTCTCCATTATTCTTCATTATAATTTCTTCGACCAAATTCACCATCCATGTTCCTTAACGTGCATAGAGAGAAGCACATATGTACTCTTTTTCACACGACAAAAGTGCCACTACTGATTCTTTTCTTGAGTTCCAAACAACTGATGTACCACCTAGCATGAACACATAGCTGTGAATTTTTTATCCTCAACATCACTACAACTTGAGTCGGTGTAACTCATTAATTTGTATTCATTTCCTTTATTAACTGCAGAAAACAAAATCCCATAACCAAAAAAAAGAAAAAAAACTAAATAAAATCATTTTATTAAAAAAATCTTTCAATAAATTAAAAATTTAACTATATTTGTCACTAATATCTTTTTTGAAGGTGTTCCATTTCTTTCTTTACAAACCCTAAAATTACAAAAGAGACCGACTAAATAAAGGGTTAAATCCCAAACCAATCCATCACAATTTATTATTTTTAATCGTTTTAGTTGTTATCTATCTTTAATACTAAATATTTATCCACCTGTATACCAAAAGTCTCACGTGCTTTCCATCTTCATTGGTAAGATTTACACAGAATTCACAACCTTCTTTAAAAAAAAACATTATTTTCTTGCCCTTTAACATCTTTTTGTTCCTATCCGAATAAATTATATAAATCATTAACACCTCTTTAAGATCTCATCTTCTGGCAAAATATGTGGCCAATTCTCATTCATAGTTAATCATATTTTAGGCAATTTTAAAATTGGTGCTTAAACTTTGATATGTAATATTGAATAATAGAAGAGCTTCAACATTAAAAGAAAAGACTAAAATAAATAAACATAAAGGAGTAAAATGGAGTAAAATGAACATTTGGTAAAAGTTAAAGTTACAATATAAAAAAATTGATTTCAAATTAAACATATGAATAGTTTATTTATTGGAATTATAATATTTAATAATAAAATTATTACTAATCATTAAAAAATATAATAATTATTAAAATAAATTAAATATATTTTTTTACAAAAATGTTTTATCAATTACATTATATGTCATGTCTTTTGTTTACGTAATCATGATTTTTTTTTTAAAAATTGATATTACTTTTTAAGTATGGTATTTAATGTCTTAGAGTTTCTTTTTGTTAATTTATAAACTTTAAAATATTTAAACAATTTTCTTTCAAAATAGTAATTGTTTGTCAAGGTAATTTCATCACTTATAATATTAGATTCCATTAAGCCATTATGATAAGATAATAAGATAAATATTTATTTTATTCTTATTATATTTTATCCCATCACATACATAATAAGATAAATATTTATCTTATTCTTATTATATTTTGTATTTATTCAACTATATATTTATTATATATTATTTTCATTTTCATTTTATATTTATCATTAATTAGACTCTAAATATATGCGTTTGCTATAGATTTTTTTTTAAAAAGTATTTTTTAAAAATCAACTTATTATAAAAATAATATTTAACTTAATTTAGTTGCTTTTCTAAAATCTATTTTCTCTGTTCAAGACATTTAAATTTAGAAGCTTCCGATTTTCTTAAAATTTTATAATATTAAACCAACAAGTTAGTTTCTGATTTTTCGGAGGACTTCTATAAATTGTTTTTCTAAATCTTTTAAAATTAAAAATAAATTCAATTAAAATCTGCCATCATTTAAAATTGAAAACAATCTCACCTAAAATTTCTAAATGTTTAAAATTGAAAACAAACTCACCTAAAATCTCTGATTATTGAAACAGAAAGTATTTTTTTTATAAAAAAAATCTAGTAAAACAAACTCATTATTTATTTAAAGTCAATATTTTAGTGAAATTAGTTTTTATTTTATTAAATAGAAAGAGAGAAAATTGCAAAGAAAATAGTATAAATTTAATGAGCTTACTAGTTTAACATAACATCAATAAATCATCTTATCAATAAAGTTTCTTCCTTTTTTTACTGTACTGTGTTGATGAAGTGAACGCTTTGCATCAATTTCAGTTATCATCATCAGGTATCATCGATTCTTCACTACCCAGATGCAAATTCCTCTTTGATTTTGTTATGTTCAAACAATTTCTTCAGTTTTTGAATGTTGAATACTGAATATTGAAGCTGGTACTTTTTTTTTTGGTGTTTGTTTTTCTTGTTACTAGGTTTGAATTGGGTCAACTCAGGTTGAATTTCAAAGGCCTTTTTGGTTTATAGTTGAATTTCAAAGGCCTTTTTGAGATCTTGTTCAATAATATTGAAGGTTAAGAAGTCACTAGTAGGTTATTGGGTATAGTCATTTGAGCTATTGATACAGATTGAGGAACTATATGTGCTGTGTGTTTGAGGAAATTATCTTATTTTGTGTATCTGTCGGGTGTTGGAGACGTAGGCACAATTGTTCGAACTTGGTGAGTAATTGTTGTGATATGTGTTTGTCGTCTTAATTTAGTATTGGATTGGTTTTGTTGGAGATTAATCTTTAGCTATGTCAGAGAAGAGTATGGTTCCTTCTAGGTTAATGTTTTGTGTGATGCTTATTTCTATGTTTCTTTTGGTGTTGTCTTCCCTTTTCCTACTTCAGTTTAGCAGTCATTCTTTTATACCTAGATCGGTTTTGGAGCTTATTATTGTCAATAATTCGTCATTTTACTTTACACCCGATTTGACGAGGGAACAAATTGTGCTACCTACCGACTCTTCTGAGGATTTAAGATTTCAAACCTTGAAACATAGGGAGTCTGATTGGAAAGTTTCCAATTCAAGCGAGAGAGAACATTTGGTAGAACAACAGATGGATGTAGCATGTGACCAAAATCAGGCTTTATTGAAAGTATTCATGTATGACTTGCCTCCGGAATTTCACTTCGGGTTATTGGGTTGGAAGGGAAGTGTAAATCAAACATGGCCTGAGGTGGATAACCCGAATCGTATCCCACGATATCCCGGGGGACTGAATTTGCAGCACAGTATGGAATACTGGCTCACACTTGATCTTCTATTATCAGAAAAAACAAAAATTGGTCGGCCTTGTACTGCAATTAGAGTACGGAATTCAAGTCAAGCAGATATAATTTTCGTGCCGTTTTTCTCTTCTCTGAGTTACAACCGGCATTCCAAGACTCAAGGGGAAGGACAAGTTAGTGTTAACAAAATGTTGCAAGACAGATTGGTACGTTTCTTGAGAGGGCGCAAAGAATGGAAACATGCGGGTGGGAAGAATCATCTAATTGTAGCTCACCATCCTAACAGCTTGTTAGATGCGCGAAGAAACCTGGCTTCTGCTATGCTTGTGCTTGCGGATTTTGGAAGGTATCCTGTTGAGTTAGCAAATATCAAGAAAGATATAATAGCTCCCTATAAACATTTGGTGGGTACTATACCAAGAGCAAAATCACCTTCATATGACGAGCGTTCCACACTCCTTTATTTCCAAGGGGCGATATACAGAAAAGATGTGAGTTTTTTTGTTACACTTGTGTTATATTTGTTTTATGCACCATTACTTTATCATGAAAAATGTCTATAGTTGGTATGCCTACTTGATGTTTTTTTTTTTCTTTCTGAAATTAGCAAGATTTTTCTGACATTTATTGATATATTGAGCACATGATGAATAAAGATCAATTTATTGGGAACTATAACCTATGATGCACTCACACAGACATTGAACACGTCAAAGACACTAGACACTGGTATATGTCAGATACAGGATATGTAATATGTACTTATCCTGTAATATTGATTTATGAAAATCACTGTGTTTTAACATATTCTAGGCGTGCCGTGTGATTTTTCCTTCACTTAAATTTATTAACCGTCATGTTGAAACTGTAGGGAGGAGTTATTCGCCAAGAATTGTATTACCTCCTCAAAGACGAGAAAGACGTGCATTTTACATTTGGGAGCATAGGAGGAAATGGTGTTAATCAGGCAAGCCAGGGCATGTCGACGTCCAAATTCTGCCTCAACATAGCTGGAGATACTCCATCTTCCAATCGACTCTTTGATGCCATAGTGAGCCATTGTGTTCCTGTGATCATCAGTGATGAAATCGAGCTACCGTATGAAGATGTTTTGGACTACTCAGAGTTTTCTTTGTTTGTTCGCGCCGCCGATGCCGTAAAGAAAGGCTACCTATTGAATCTCCTTCATTCAATCAAACGCGAGGAGTGGACCAGGATGTGGGAAAGATTGAAGGAGATTACACATCACTACGAGTATCAATATCCATCCCAGCCCTGGGATGCAGTGAACATGATTTGGCAGGAAGTTGCGCGGAAGATATCTTCAATTCAGTTCAATTCACACAGGAAGAATAGATACAATAGATCTCAGCTTCTTGTCAAAACTAACTGAAATACTGAGATTGTGTTTTGATGGAATCATTTGACCTTAGTTTCATTCAACATATCAATGGGAGAGAGATAGACCTTGTTTCTGTTATTTGCATCTAGCAAGCTATGTACCTTCCCATTTCACTCTTTTTTATTTTATAATTTTTTTGTGTTTTTCATTTTAATAAAAATTTAAGTATTGTTTTCCCACCGATATCTTCTTTATTAGGTTCAGAGAAATTTATTATCTTTATGGCTGTATTACTGAAAATAGAAAGCTTATGAAATTTTTAATACTTTTAAAAAAATATTTACTTTTTAAATTCATTGAATAAACAATTTATGTAGATAAAATATAAAACAAATTCATTAGTTATTGGAATCATTTGACCTTAGTTTCATTCAACATATCAATGGGAGAGATAGACCTTGTTTCTGTTATTTGCATCTAGCAAGCTATGTACCATCCCATTTCACTCTTTTTATTTTTTTTCATTTTAATAAAAATTTAAGTATTATTTTTCCACCGATATCTTCTTTATTAGGTTCAGAGAAATTTATTATCTTTACGGCGGATTTTTTTATAAAGAAAGTAATATAAATATATTATTTATTTTATATTATCCGGACAAATTTATTTTTTAAATTCATTTAATAACTAATGAATTTATTTTATATTTTATTTAAATAAATTGTTTATTTAATAAATTTAAAAGTAAATTTTTTTTAAAGTATTATAAATTTCATAAGCTTTTTATTTTCAGTAAATACGTATTTAAACATATTTTTGGGTAATATAGGTCTAACAAATTTCATTTTGTCAAATGAAAAAATATCTAAACATAAATTCCATTATTGAAAACACAATTCCCATTCTAAGTTTGATCAAAAATGCATTTGCAAACTTCAATTCAAACACACAAATATCTTATAAAAATAAGTCCTTTAAATCTGTTTATGAACATGCAGCATTTTTTTTTTTTAAAACTATCTAGAAGTAAAATTCAATTCATTTTTTTTAATTTTATTTTATAGTACAAAATATTAAACTTATATTTGATTCATCTGTATATTATTGGAATGGTAGACGAAGTGATAATAACAACTAAAAATTCACACACTGATTCGTGCTGACTTCTAATTTAGGGGTGGTAAAACAGATCCGGTACGTTGTTGAGTTAGTCTGTTTAACGCACTTTAGTGTGAGGTTATGGGTTTAGGTCCCATCTAATGTATCCGTTCTATTTTTCTTTTTTGAACTTTTGCGGGCACCAACATATATATATATATATATATATATATATATATATATATATATATATATATATATATATATATATATATATATATATATATATATATATATATATATATATATATATATATATATATATATATATATATATATATATATATATATATATATATATATATATATATATATATATATAAAGTTTTGTGTTTTTTGATTAAAAGGTACAATGCAGTGTCTATGGATTTTCTCCATCCTATCCTCACCTTTTTGCAGGACAATCTTATATTTTAGACTTGCATTCTCAACTATACTCGTCCAGTTTTTTTTTATGGATTTTGCATAAAAGATCTAAACGGGACGGACATACCCGTTTACCACCCCTTATAACCTATCAATAAACCCCTTATAACCTATTAATTTTGGTTTCTTATTAGTTGAGTTAAAATTTGTGGACTAATTCGTTTGAATTTGATTGTTCAGGAGTTCCATTATTGGAAAGTTGGATCCGATAAAATAAATTCATGCACATTATTTTCAAATAGAAAAGAAAGATGAAAATTTCATTATGTTATGTATTTGATTGTCAACAATGCTATTCCTACACTCATATTTGACATTAAATACTTATATAATATCGTATAATACGGTAAACAATATTTTTAAATAAAAAAATATATTTATGAACAATGTAATGTGATGAACAGTGCGTGAACAATAATTTTACATAGGGAAACAAAGTTGGTTAATGAAATATAAAATGTTAGTTAATAAATGTCCAAAATTTTAAAAATAATTTTTAATAATAAAATAACGTTGGTTAATGAAAAGGAAAAAATTGGTTAATGAAGTGATGAAGTTGGTTAATAAACGTTTAAAATTTTAAAAATAATTTTTAATAGTAAAATAAAATTAGTTAATAAAAATGGAAAAGTTGGTTAATGAAATGATGAAGTTGGTTAATGAACGTTAAGATATTAAAAATAACTTTTAATAGTAAAATAAGATTGGTTAATAAAATATTAAATGTTGGTTAATAAAATTATAAAAAATGATTAATTAATTTAATTATTATAATAATAGTAATAAATTTTATATTTAAAAAATATATTTATTATTGTAAGATTTAAAATAAATAAATAAACAAATATACATTTAAATAAATAACTTGTCTTTTTGTTTTGATTTAAAAATAGGAGTTTTTTGTTTTAGTGTAAAGATATCATTCAACAATATTACCAAACACTTTTAACTATCTCTCATATCTATAAACATCTCTACACAATCAGAAATGGTGCTGATATAAAGATGAGTTTTCAGCTGCAATTCTTCACCTGCCAAACAAATTCAACAAAACTAATAAATTTACCAACAATGGATAAGAACATATGTCAAATGACAAAACATTTCAACTTCTATTGTGAATTGGGTTTGACCTTTTCTGACTGTCCTTTTGTTTGATTGATTAGCATTAAATGTCATTGAAGATGAAGGTGCCAAATCCATTTTTGATTCCAAACCCTCCATTGCAACACCCTTTAAGACATGAGAAACTTGCAAAAGATCTTTGGTTCTCAAACCACATGCAACGTATGATGAATGAGAAGCTAACATCCCAACACAAACTAAAATTAATAATCCTCTAAAACATGAGAAACTCATGGTTGAAACAAAACTTCAAAAACTTGCTAGTTTGAAACAAGGAAGAAAGAAGAAAAGTTACTAACCTATTTCTTATTGCTCATGACATGATAATATATATTCCATGGGATTTGGAAATGTTAAAGCAAAAAGAATAAGAAGCCTATAACAAGTTGTAGGGAAGTTTTAGATTCACTTCAATCATAAGCATGATATAGAGCAATCAATAATATATAAGGCTGTTTTAGAAGACTGACAAGTTAGAATAAAAAGTTAAATGGAACAAATATTTTCATTCATCAATTTCCCCACATTGCTTTCATTTATAATTGTAATGCTCTTTTACACCAAACAAAGACCAAACCTTTGTCTTGTAGCACTTTGTTGATCTGCCACGTCATCTTATATTGTGACATGTCCTTCTATGGTTTGAGAAAAATATGATCATATGATGCTTGATTAAGTTTTTTATTGTTTGTAAGGTAAAAAAAAGAAAGAAAGAAAATAAAGCAAACTAAATAAACTCTCAAAAGAAAGCTTTTGCAACATAAACTTCAAGAATATGGTTAAGATTTTTGGAGAGAAGAAGTGTGAACTAAGAGGTTCTAATTGGAAGAGAGGTCAAGTTTACTTATAAAATTAATACATTGGTTGTTTTTTTTATAAATAATTATAGTTATTTTAATTTGGTCATTTTCAAGAAATATAGGATGTCTTGAATCAAAATAATATAATACAATGTAGTTGCACGTCCTTAATATATTAAGGAGAAACAACTCAGTACTATTATTTTATTTTATTGTTTGTCTTATTGTTTTCATCTTTGATTTACTTTCGATTATTAAGTCTTTTTTATGATTGCACCTCTCTGAATCAAGTTTTGAAATGATTCGTTTTTAGCATTGCATAAACTATTTGTTAGGTTTGAACTTGATCATGATAATTTTAATCAATTGCATGAGTCAGTGGAATAAGAGTCATATATGATATTGATTCAAGTTAGGTGGAAAGAAAAATCTCAAAGTCTCCTTAAATTTTTGAAAAATTGGGATTTTGGGTGTTTGATTCGAATCAAGCACGAATCCTGATTCGAATCCTTTTGGATAGAGACATACCTAAAATTTTCAAAACAATTTGATTCAAATCACATTTTACACATGATTCAAATCATTAAACTCTGGGTCACCTCTGCCTGAATTGATTCGAATAACATTTTACACATGATTCAAATCATGCAATTTGTCCACATTTTTCCAGTTAGTTCAACCTGTTTGATTCGAATCAAATTTAACACATGATTCAAATCACAGGGTATTTGATATGAATCACACATTCCTCTTGATTCGAATCAACTAAAAAATAGGTCAAAACTCTGTTTTTCTTTTATTTCACTTGACTTGTTCATTTGATTCAAATAATAAAATACTCATGATTCGAATCTAACTGACTTTTCCAACCATTTTCAGTGTTTAATCTCAAGCACATATAAAACTTTTTTCTGTCATCATTTCTCATGTAACGAATCATTGTGAGTATCATAATCAACATTGTGGTTCTGTGAAAAATAAATTTCTTTTTTTTTAAAGTTCAAAGTTCTTGAAACAAAAATCTTGCATTTTCAACTTCAATTTGATTCAGATCATGATAACGAGAGATTTGTAATTAATTGAAGGGGGCGTATTCTTGAAGATAATCGTTCTTGAAGATTTGGTTGAGATTTTCAGGTTGCTTGCAAGATTGAGGTGATTGACAATGGTGATGAAAAATTCCATTGAAAAGAGGTAGGGTATTCTATCCAGAATTTCTTAGTATTGATTGTGTGGAAGGCTATAGATAAGGCAAAGTTCTTCTCAAATCTTCAGACAATTCACCATTCAATGAATCAGTAGGATCAAGGGGTTGATTGATACACTCAGAGGTTTGGAGCAGATTGGTGATATTGGAAGATTCAAGAAGTGTTAATCAAGTAAAGATTACATAGAAGAGTTTGACATTGTGCAATATATAAATCAAGATCCAGATAGAAGATTTTGATTTTCTCAACATTATTGTGGATTGGTGATTGTGTGTATTCTTGGAAATATTTTTCAAATAAAAAGGAACAATGTATTTTCCAATTGGAAACCATT